TTGCCCGTTTTGAAACTTAACCAGGAGGTCGCCGGTGGTTGGGGCTGTGTTGGACTGAGGCTTGGGTAGACGAAACATTCCATCCAGTTGAATGTTCTTTGCTGTTTTAGGGGGTAGTAATGCCATGAACAGCCTACGTAGGAAGTGTGGCATCTCTGCCATAGTGATGGAGTCCGATAGGCCTCTAATTTTTAGGTGTTTCCACCTCCTCTTATCTTCCAGAATTGCTAGCTGGCTGTCAAAGTTAGTCTGCGCCTTGGTGAGGTCCCTCACCTGCTTCTGCAGGTCTGCTATTTGAGGGGTGTGCTCCTCCACTGCTTTTTCCACTGTGATTAAACGGGCTGTGAATCCCCTGACATCTTCCCGTACTTGGGAGATATCTGCAGAGAGACTTTGTCTGAGGTCAGCCAAGAGTTTAGTAAGGATGGCTGTGGTTAGTGGGATTGAGCTGCTGTCCACCTCCGGAGATGGCCTGGGGGGTCTTTGGAAGCCAAGGGCTGCTGGGTTGTGCGGGGTGTATTCTTCTGAGACGTCGGAGAAGTCGTCCAGTACATCCGCCATTTCCAGCTCGCTTGCACCGTGCGGCCTTCTAAAGAGTTCACTGATATCGGCCACTCATTCTAGCATGTAAGCTCATTGAGCAGGGCCCTCAAACCCTCTGTTCATGTGTGTCCAACATGTCTGGTTACAACTACATGTTTGTTCGTCCACCCACTGTATAGCGCTACTGAATTTGTTAGTGCTATATAAATAATGACATAATAATAATAATAATAATAATAATAATAATGAAAATAAATTGTCAAAAAATAAGAAAAGGTTAAAGAGTTAAAAAAAACAAAAAACTGAACACTCAGTGCTCACTTGTGCATTAACCTGCACATACTGTGTATATTACTAATTGAAGAAGAAGTTATTTGTATAACTAACAATTCTCACTTTAGTGAAGTCGAGGCAAGATTTACTTTTGGAGACAAGAAGGATATCATCTATAAACAGGACATTTTGACTGTGGTCATGTAGGGCAGTTTCTATCATTGAAGAATAAGTGAATATGTGAAATTTAATTTAATTTATGCAGGACATTTAAGGTTGACATTTCATCACTTTGAACAGTAGTGTTTCATAAGGAAACAGAAAGTTGTACAGTTGCGTTACATCACTTTGGTTATATTGGAGCCACCCTTCCTTAATAGTGTCAGCGATTTCTATTCATTCTGTGAGGAAGCTGCAGTGAATGCCAAGCATACACTATTACGTACAGTAGAACAGATTGGGGAAATTGGTGACAGGAATTTATGCTAAAAAAAAATAGAGAACATTTTGCGTTCAAGATATATGTCCTTTTATGTCCATACTTCATGTTCACAGCTTACAAAAATGCAGCAAATAATGATTAATTATTGTTGTCTGTGTGACACTGAAGACTTTGCCCAGCCATGCAGAGCAACTGTGTTGGCAATCAATTAAACTACGTTTTAGGCCCCCTGTCCTATAGAGCTAGCGGTCTCTTCTCACACTCACCCACCCTCCCTGTGCTCTTCTCATCTCCCCCTCCACCCTCCCTGTGTTCTTCTCACTCCCCCCTACCTGTGTTCTCCTCATATCCCCTTCTCCTCTCCCCCTCCCTGTGTTCTTCTTACCCCCTCTCCTCCCTGTGTTCTCTACACCACCCACCCTCTCTGTGTTCTTCTAAGCCCCCCCATTCTCCTCACCCTTACTCTCCCACCCTCACCCCTGTGTTCTTCTTACTCCTCCCTTCTTCTTCTTACCCCCTTCTTCTTCTTACTCCCCCATTCTTCTTACCCCCTTTTCTTCTTACCCACCCTGGTTCTTCTTACTCCCCCTTCTTCTTCTTACCCACCCCATCTTCTTGCCCCCTCTTCTTCTTACTCCCCATTCTTCTTCTTCTTACTCCCCCCTTCTTCTTACCCCTTGTTCTTCTTACTCCCTCCTTCTTCTTACTCCCCCTTCTTCTTACTCCCTCTTCTTCTTACCCCTCTTCTTCTTACTCCTTCTTCTTACCCCCACCCCTTCTTCTAACCCACCCCTTCTTCATACCCCCCTTCTTCATTCCCTACCCCTTCTTCTTACCCCCCTCTTTTTACCCCTCCCGTTCTTCTTACTCCCCTTCCCTGTAGTGTGGCCGAGCTCCTCTCCGGTCCACGGTGCGCGGAACAGGAGTTTCTGTTTTCTGTACCCGGCCGAACTGACAGGAAGAGCACACTTAGTGTGCACCTTCCTATCACTCCGGCTGGGCACCGCGGACCAGAAAGGAGCTCGGCCACTCTACAGGGAAGGGGAGGGGAGAAGCTGTGCTGCAGCCACCAGAGGCTCTTAGCAGAGCGCTCAGGCGGCTGCAGCATTAGGACCGGCCCTGCAGCGGCCGGTTTTAAAATTATTTAGGGCGGCCTCGGGGGCAATTTCCTCCCTGAGCCCCGGCCCAGCCCGCCCCTGCCCCTAACCATGGGGACTGCGGGGAGGGGGTGGGGGAGATTCACATTTTGTTCTGAATCAGAACTAGCCAAGCACCGTGGTGCGTTAACTTTAAACTTGCCCCAAACGGTAAGAGGTCGAGCAGACGATCACCATTTCCATAGGGTCCCAGCCAGGTTCCTGATATTTCTGATTGTACTTCCACACCTCCTCTTGGGACAAAGGAGACCAAGTTGGTTGGGTCCCAGAAGTGGGCTTTTGCAAGTTGTTTTTAGACAATGGGAAAAATATACATAATTAAATGCATGCATGTTTTTTATATTGGGGTATATCTACTAAACAGTGAGTTTAGTATCTCTTTAAAGAAAGGAAATTTTAAAGATCTTTTGAGTGGGGGTGCGAGAAGGGCATATGAAAGCATCAGTAAAATAATTGGGCTATTTGCACACCAATACATTTCTAAAATAATAGGCATTGTCAATCATGCAACATGACACTGGAATGAGAGCAAATATATAAAGTTCAGCAAACAGTATTACTTATTAAAAGACATAACATACATGTAAGACTTAATTTGAAAAAGTTTTATTACCGTGTATTGCCAGGAAACCAGATCTACTTCATGACCGCCAACATTTAAGGGTGTGTGGACAGTACAATAGCTGAGAGATTATTAACAATATAGGAATAAGGGCATTATTAGCGCCAGCCAGGTAAGCTGGGGGGTAGCGGGCGCACATTTCTTTGATATGACAGTGAAGTTTGAATTCTATTCTTCAGATTAACTCCCAGAGTTTCGATTGACGTGTAGTCATTAATTTATGCATGTTTGTTTCATTGCTGCATTAACAAGGAGAGGCTTTTTCTGCCGTCTACTGTTCCTTTAAAAGGGGTAAACTAGCGCAATCCATGGAGTTTGTGTAAGTGAAAATGAGGAGGAGGGGATTGTGCACTTTAGTGCGATTAGTGAAATTATGTCAAATAGAATTTGTTTTCGGTTATTATTATTTATATAGCTCCAAGTTATTCCATAGAGCTTTACAGTTATAGAATGGGGATAATTGATATTTGTCAAACTAATAACAGTCAAAAGGTAAGGCAGGCCCTACAATCTATGCTTTAATTAAGGTTTTACTCTGCGAGGGGCCTAACACCAGATTTTGAATAGGCATTATATTTTTTGATTCTTTTAATTTTTTGGGGTAATCTCTTTCTTGAAGGCAGGGATGATTCAAGTAAGCAAAATGCTGGTGAGGTAGCTCAGTTGGTAAATTCCCTAACTACAAAGCCTGTTCAAAAACACAAGGTCACAGGTTCAAATCCAAGCAGGTTCAACTCAGCTCTTTATCCTTCCAAGGTTGATAAAATGAATACCATCAATTGGGTAATAATTACATCTATTTCTATTCAGCTGCCAACTTGGTTAATTCAGAGAGGGTGTGCTGAAAAGTGCTTTGAGTCCCACTGGGAGAAAGGTGCTATATAAATGCTAGTTATTCTTATGTAATGATAACTGTGAAACTAGTGGGATGGAATACCTGGTCATTGGCTGTGGTTTTGTCTATAATAGGAGCAGAAATAAAAATACCAATAAAATGAACAGACATTTTTGTTATTTAATATTTTGTGTTAGGACACCTGACTGCTGGTTAAAACTTCCCCCTGATTGCTAACAGCTTCACCTGTCGAAACAAATGGGGTCAAGTATTCAAAACCAATTCAGTGAGCTCTACTAAAGTCTATTTTTATTCATCATTTGCCTTAATCCGTTCTACTTACTCAGCAATACAGGGTGAATAAAAGAATCAAGTCCATCCGCCTTTCTCATATCTGTATTGCTGCTGATGATCCAAAGACTCTAGACTGCTCTGCGATCACAACATCCCTAACATAAATTTCTAAACTAGACCTTTCAGTTGAACAGTGGTGAGAAGAACAGCTCAGCACTACTCAATAGCAGTGAGCTATACATTAATAACTTAAAAATAACAATGTGGGGGTTCCAAAAGGACCCCTCCCTGCATTAACAGATAACACATATAGTTGGGTCCCTATTAAAAAAAATCTAGTGTGCAGCCTCATGATCCACTAGCAATCAGGAAAGTCCAAAGAGCTTTGCAGAACTTCTCTAAAAATAGTTTGTGTATAGAACCCTAGTACCCCTAAAATCAATGGCCTTACAGAGTGATATTCATCCCCTTCAACATGGGAATGCTATGCTCCTTTCTCCATATACATACATGCACTTTAATCCTCAGTCATTGGCTCTCCTAATATAGGGGTAGGCAACATTCCGCACTCCAGATATTGTGGACTGCATGTCCTATAATGCTCCTACAGACATAATGCTGGCAAAGCATCAGGAGAGATGTAATACATTGTCACCTTAAAGACTTTTGAACCCCTTAACCCTCTGTTATACTGTATTCTTTCCCATCTCTCCTTTTTTTAAAATAATGATGCATTTAAAAAAAAAAATTTTTTTATAATTCTTTATTTTTCGTGCTTAGTGTGAACAAAACAGGCTAGTATCGCCACAATGGCAGGTATCTGCCGAATACAGTGCTAAAGTATCATCATCATCATGGTAGTTGTTAAGAGCACATTTTTTATAAATGCACAGTAAACAGTAGGGTAACAATAGTTTTAACAATTTTTGAGCAATCCTTATGTCACAGCAATAAGCTTGATGTGTTGAATCAGTTAAGTAGTATGCTTATTATGTAAGACTGACTCGTGTGCGTCCTAGCAGTGTTCGTGTGTGGTCAGGTGTGTAGCCTAGGGCTGATGTAGTGGGTTACGATGTAGTGCACATCTCACTGTTGCGGACTTAGTGTCAGTTTGGTATGTATGTGAAAGCTTAAGTGTGTGGTATAGCTTGCACCGCCTTCCTTGTCTAGGGCATTAGTGGAGCTCTTTTGCAGAGTCTGGAGGCAGGGGGGTATTAAACATGTGTGTCATGTCTGCCATATTATGCCATCAGGTGTTGCAAGTGTAAAATAAATGTCTCATTATCGGAGGAACCAAACAAAGTAGAGGACAAAACATTTGAGAATTAAACATATACCTACAAGATAGGGCTGAGTGTAGGACTGTCCTCAGGACGTGGATGCTACATATAAGTCCGGCAGGGCTCCCCATAGAATGAATGGGGTGATCTTTGCTGGATTCCAAGTGCGTGAGGGACCGGGAGCGGTGGTGGGTTCTTTAGTGCTCAGACTGTCCTGTTGGAGGCCCAGGGCGGGTAGTACTAAGCTGTTGCTTCTTGGATGTCTTGGAACAGGTGCGTGGAATCTCCGTGTGTTACCATGAGCGTGCGAGACATGCGCCAATGGAAGCGTATATTCTTTTGCTGAAGGCGGGAGGTGAGAGGCCTGAGGGACCTCTGCCAGGCCAGGGTGCTGTTTGAGAGGTCCTGGTAGAAGGCCAGCGACATGCCTTCCATTTGGTATGAGGTACCTTCAGGACCATAAGGACTGCTACTTTGTCTATTCCCAATTTGAATTGGACCACCAGGTCCCGCGGGAATGTTGCTGGGGCCTTGGCCTGTTTGGGGATTCGGAATAGGCCATCCAGTTGTATAGCTTTAGCTTGCCGTGGGGGAAGTAGTGCGGCCATAAGTCTCCTCATTAGATGTGGTAACTCGGCATCAGGTATGTCCTCCGGGATACCTCTAACTTTCAGGTTATTACGGCGTTGGGTGTCTTCTTGTGCCGCGAAGCGGCGGTCATACAGTTGGTTTTGTTTTTGTTTCTGAACTCTTGTTGTAGTGTGACCATGCTTTGTGAGCCTGTGCGTGAGGCTTCCTCCAGCACTCCGATGCGGCCCTATAGGCCACTGCGGATCGTGGCTATGTCTGCCTGCAGCGTGGTTTTCAGATTGTCCAGGAGCTCCTTTAGGACGGCCGTGGTGACCGGAGCTGCGTCTGGTGTCGTTAAGCCCGGTTTCGGTTTTGGGGTTGCAGGTAGGATTTTGTCTTCCCCGTCCATGGATAGCTCGTCGGAAAAATACGAACAGCCCCCAGTGAGGGCGGCCATTTTAGGCCCGTACGCTCCCTGCGCCTGCTTCCACATTTCCCCGATATTCATTCCTATGGTCGGTTTATCTGGCTTGGGCTTTTTTGATTTGCGCCCCATGGTGCCTGTACGGACCGGTACTGCTCTCCAAGTACAGTTAGTGGTGTCTTTGGTAGCTGAAATTAGGCTTTTTGTGGCATAAAGCTCGGAGCTTCGGGGACATGCAACTGATTGCTTCAGCAGCTTAGCTCCGCCTCATAATGATGCATTTTTAAACAGAGGGTATGTGAGGAATGCACAATTCCTCGTGCAATATTCATGAATGTATTTATATTCATTTATATAAATGAAAACATGAAAGGATTCCATGTTTGTCAGTTAAGTTACTTATTACGTAACTTAGAGGAAACGAGGATACTTGTGAAGAAATTACGGAATATTTCATTGCTACATTTTCAGCATAAGTGCCTGTCATTCAGCTGTCAAAAATGTACATTAAAAAAAGGAAGAACAAAGTGTCAGCTTACCTGGCCGGCCCTTATTCATGTGTGTAAATGCTTTTATGCAAAATTCTCGACGGACAGGTTTTATAAGCTCATCTTCACAGACAGATTCCATTCTGGCCTCAAATGGAACCTCAAACACATTTCTCTTATGCATCTGTCACATAGAAGTGGCATTTTTTAATTCACAAGGAATATGTACTAAAAGTTCTAAGGAGATACTGTATTTGGCATACACTCCAGAGGGTGAATCTGCTCAGATCATACGGGTTTGGGTTTGGCAGCTGGTAGGGTTAAGTCATTATTTGCAGTTTGCTTCAATGAGTACAGTTTGGGTTTGTAAAAAAATTTTGACGGTACAAGAATTCCCGGCCAACAAACAGACATGTATGTAGTACCAACAAGAAAACATTTTATACAAAACTGAAAAGTAATAAATGCTGGAGATATGGATTCACATGAAATTATGGGGAAAAAATATCATTATTTCAAAGATCGTCAAATGTGGCCAAGAAGACTGGCTAAATAAATGATTTCTACAATAGGTATACCAGAAAAATAAAGACACCTGTAAAAAATGAAATGTCCGGCGTCCATGTTTTTTGTTGTTGTTAAAGTCTGAAGATTTAGACTTTTTTTTTAAAAAGTGATTTAATCCACTTACCAAACGTAAACAACAAATACTTAATAATAGGTTTCTGCAGCCTCCTTAGTAACATAACATAATGTTGTAACAGTGTGACTGCTTCCTGATAAGCCACATCTCCGGATAAGTCACACGTGGAATAGGTAACAGTATATAACTGTATACTAGACAATACAAATGTTCCAGGTCAGTTCTAAGTTGCTTGAAGTTTGCCCTTAATTAGAATAGAAAAGATTTTGGGGGAAAAATATTATCTAATGCTGACTTGAAAAATCCAGTTTAGGCCAACAGATGAGTTGAAACATTTGCAGACATGATGTAGCCAATCAGTACCAAGAGACTTATCAGAGGACAAGAAAAGTTATCTGGCTGCACTGAGCTCGGGTAGTATTAAGCATCACTATGAGGAGGTGCTGATTGGCCAAGCCGTTTTTTTTTGCCATGCCCTCGTCCTGTCTCCTTGCCGATTTCAGGCAATCCATTAATTTCCCTATGGGAAAGCATTGGATTGGCTGAAATCTTAAATTCTGATGATGTCAGCAATAAGGGGGATTGGGGGCGGAGCCAGTTCCGGCAGACCCGCGTGGTGCAGGAAGGGGGTTATGTGGAGGTGGGAGGGGGGGAGGGGTGGGTGGGGGAGACACCTAAATAGTGGTTTTAACACTATTGGGTCAGGAATACGTTTGTGTTCATGACCCTATAGTGTTCCTTTCAACAAAACCAAGTGGATATTCCAGTTGTTCCGGCCAATCTCAGTATTGCTATTGACTTTTAAATATGAGGAGCTCAGTTCAAACAAAGACACCAGTCCATCTTTTGTCTTTTTTTGTGATATATATCACAAAAAAGTACCCGTATGATATATATCATTTATTTGTTTTATGTATTTAATTGTTATATTATTCATTTTTTTATTTATATTTATATATATATATATATATATATATATATATATATATATATATATATATATATATATATATATATATATATATATATATATAAAAATGTTATTTATGGATTTTGATTGCAGATGATAGCAGTATTTGGGCACCAGTTTCTACACTGGGATTAGTGAGTGTTAAATAATTTATATTAGGTGAACATTGATATACATATATGCTATACATACCTTTATATTTATAACATAGTAAGAGCAGGAGGCCTAATATAGAACAACCACCCAACTTGATTTAAATGTAATTGAAAAATGGGCTATTTTTAAACTCGTCCCTGATTGTAACCTACCAAGTCAGTATGAATTGGTTGCAACAGGTGATAATAACCTGTTTTTATAAAATTTGCCTCTTAGTGAGATAACATGGAGAGCCTGTCTGAGAATTGTGTGGTATTTTTCCTATGAAAAAGGTGTTTATATGTAGACTTTTGGTTAGACCTGGATGTCAGTTTGTCTGTCCTCCTGTCTATCATATATGTGCTGGCTTGACTAGCTATTTCTGTTTATCCTAATAGTTGTAAAACTACTGTCCTTGGGTATTATACTCATTGGAAGGGGCAAGGAACACTTAATCCATGTTAAGATCAGAATGGTGTCTGGTTCATATCCCATTAATCCAAGACATTGCCATGAGTTTTAGCATTAGAGTACTGTTACTGTCCATCATATAACTCACTCCCGGTGTAATACTCGATACCTCAATATTTTGTTCTACTTATTTCCTGTGAAATAACTTGTTACATGTAGCAATTACTGCCATAGATCCCATAGCCTGTTTCATGAACTACATTATATCTGTCCTTTTCTCTTCTCAGAACCAAATGATAATTAATATTTTGATTGTTTTGTACACAGTAACCTCTAGCGTCATCTTCATTTCACATTTAGAAGAAGCACAAGAGTAAAAGTGATTCATGATCACTTCTTTATTATACCTCCATCAATAAATTCTGTTCTGTCCTACACTCAGTGGCTAGTTCTATATTGTAGATCGGAATGTTGTAGCAAGGCTGTAATGTAAAAATACACCAGGCCTCCCAACAGTCCCAATTTTAAGGTTCCGATTTTGGAAGGACAGTCCTGATTTTAATGTCCTGTTCCACCACCCCACTTTAAATTCCGGGGAACGTTCCCTGTGAAATACAGTGTGAGTATATCTAATGATGCAGGGACTATGACCATGCAAGGAGCACTTTAGCGCTCATGGTCCTGAAGGCTGGCGGCCTGCCTTGCACCATTTCCAGAGAGGCTGGTGGCCTGCTTCGCACCAGTTTGAGATTATACTCAGATTTTTTTCAAAGAGTAACCCTCACTGCAAATAAGTTACTATAGGTGTGGAAGGTGTTTTATCCAAGTTACGCTCACCTCTAGAAATTCATATTTATGAATGCCACCAATAAACAAGTAAATTATCAATGTTTATTGATATATAACTATGTATAAAACTTGAGTGTTCATTTATGAATGGATCCTTTTAAATGTTATGAATATTCTTACATACCGTATATTTATTACTGAGTGCACATTGTCTAGAAACCCATAGATATTTAGATTTAACCCTTTAATCACCAGATGATGCCACATAATAATTTGGCAGATATTGTTGCGACAGACAGTTGAAGATCATCTTATTTTGAGATATCTTCATCATCCTGGAAAATTTTGCAATCAATATTAATATGGAATGCATAATACAGTGTTTACTGTATTAACACACATTCTGCATTTAAAGAGGCCAGGGGATAGAATATATTGAATAGTACTTTTTATCATTATGCTTTCTGCTGTAACACTTCAAATTAAGTAGTTTTACATAATAAAGAAAAAAGTTGACAAAAATTCTAAATTTACTTCTAAAGAAGCAGGTGTGAAGAAGTGCTCCCCACATTGTTGAAGTTATTTTTTAAACTCTGTGCTTTACAAATATAACTGCTCCCCTCAAAGATGGGCAGAGAGAAACCTTGAGCATATGAGTATGTATAACAGGAGAGCTGGAGCGTGATTTTATGTCACTTTTCACCCAATTTATTAGCTGCCAATCTCTTGCTGCAAGTTAAACATTGAAAAGAGCCGTGACAATACAGAGAACGGCTGACGGGCTTATTAACCCTGTACAAATCTGTTTCGTGTCTTTTTGTGATTGTGACTGTGGAAGGGACTCACCTGGTGCTAGTAAAGCTCTTTGTTCTAAAGGGGGAGTTTTTTATTTTTAGAAAGTAGAAGACTTTAGAGCGGCACTGTCACTCCCACCCACCTACTTGAAAAATTACTTTTTCATAAATATGGAATCTTTATGGAATCCTCATACTGACTGTGTTGGTATTTCAGTGAAATCCCAACCCAGTCAAGAGATATACTGAGACAAAGTAGGGGCTAATTTGTCTCTGTATATTTCCTCCACCATACACGTCTAGACGCTGGGTGGGGCTTTGCCCTCTAGAGTCATTAATCCCCCCAGCCGTCACTAGTGAGGGCTGCAGGGAATTGGCTTTATTTCTGGAGGATCTCGC